ATGATTATGATTCATTAGCTGATATAGCTTTCTCTAGGTTTCTTCAACACTGACAGCTGACCAAAACCACCAATTCCTAATTAAACCCTTTATAAAACATTGCTCCTAAACAAATTTTCAAGGTAGTAGACCAGGAAGGCACCTGACCCTCAATAATAGATTTGTTTTGGGGTTCTCAATTGTGAAAAGTTTTTTCCACTGGAAAAAACTGTTCATGGAATCTTCCTTTACTTAGGAAGCCATGGAAGCTGAGGAAGAAGCTGAAAGCTTGGGGCTTCTCTTGAGCTGAAGATCTGAGGCTGCAAAGCAAAAGGATTGCTGAGAACAATTACAAAGCACCTGAGAAAGGAAGCTGAATACTAATTACAATCAATTACAAAAGGAATCCTCACAGGAATCCAGATTTGTTTTGGTGGTAGTTTATTATAGAGGATCCCCCATTTGTTTGAGGGGGGGGAGGGGGGTGGGACCCCCCTTTACTAATCAGGATCCAACATTATCGTTTATTGCAGACCGCTATAGTTCACAAGATATGTTTGCTAAGCTAAATGTTTGCAACGCAAAGCAGCTGCTGCGCAAAACAAAAGGAAGGCAAACTGCTACAATCCGCCATGCAAAGTCTCCGAACTCCTTGTACTGTTCCATCAGTGTCTTCAGTCTTTCTGGATCGCTGTGCTCAATTGCCTCTGGCATCTTCCATCGAGAAACCACAAGCTGCTGTTGAAAGCCAAGCATCCAACCCAATGTAGCAGCTCGCTCATAGGATCCTTTTTACCAGATTGGACTGGCTGAGCCTTGAAAATCTTGAAAATGAGCGGATGCCAAGCCTTTGAATACCAAAACCGACTCACCGCCGCCCATCCTCCACTGCCGGCTCTGTCTCAGGCTCGACTGGCCTTCAGGGTGCACGGACTGAACGCAGCGCGAGCGCAGCTCTTTGAGGCAACTGAGGAGATTGCACAAGGCCCGAGTTCGCCTGATCCACATGGTCTTTTGTTGGGCAAGTCCAGATCATGTTCAAATCTTAGTTTCTGACAGATACGCAAGTCAAGACCTATCGGGTTCCATGCAAACTCAAGTGATTGCTATGGCAGCAGGCAAACCCAAAAATCTTGCCTGCAAGCACAAGAGCACTGCCAACCATCGCATGGTCTCCATGGCCAAAGTGATGTTTATACATAAAATCTATATATATATATGTATTTGTATGTATTTGTAATTTTGTATCATATCATGGAAGGACTTGGCAACGCGCAAGACTTGCCAACCCCTACCTGTTCAGGATGGTGCAGCTGTGGTCCCCAGGTATGGTCTTAATATGTCTTAATCTGCTACATGTCTGCTGGGGTAATCATGACTTTCTGTCAAGTCAAGGAGTGCCGTTGCGGGAGTGTCCTAGCCCTACGTATCACATGCGTCGCATCTAGTGAGAGAGTGAAACTCTTGAAGGTACTGATTCGCACAGTGACCACTTGACGCAGGGAATTGCAAAAGTCAGGGTGTCACAAGAGACTCAGTAAGAAAATGCCAGAAGCACGACTGGCTTCTTCACCTTTGAATGTACCAAGAGCTAGGCGCACTCATGTTGAAAAGAAGCCAGCCCCTCTTTGGCCAACACTTTATACAGCTTCACTTAATCGAACAAGTCAGACAAGCGCACCGGTGTCATATTTGATTTCTAGGTCATGGTCATGGTCACACATCAACTGCAACAGGAATGCAATGCAGGTAAGTCTGTAAGTAAACTTACAAGTAAACAAGAGCCACTTTTGCTTGGAGTAGTTCTCGAAGGGAGATGACTCTCACTCTTCCTGCCTGTCATGAAGCAGCTAGGCAAAGCTTGATTCGAGCAAACATTTAAGGCTTGAAAATATAGCCAAGATATGAATGAGCAACTCAGAGCAACCATGATTCGTTCCAGAGGGCATTGTGTGATGTGAAATACCGCGGCTATCAACTTGTGCGAAACAGCACTCCAACAATGCCCATCATTACTTCACATGGGTTTGTATTTTTTACGTTCCCGGGCCGGGATGTTTGACTATGGGGTATCAGGGGTATCCTTCGGAGGTATGCTTCGGGGTATGCTTCGCGCAGTGTGAAGACTAAGGTAGTAGCGTTTTCAGAGGGTATGCTTCGGGGTATGCTTCGCGCAGTGTGAAGACTAAGGTAGTAGCGTTTTCAGAGGGTATGCTTCGGGGTATGCTTCGCCTAGCAGACGTTTAAAAAAGAGACAAATTGCTTTACTTCGAGGGATCCCCACCATGGCATTTCAAGACAACCACGTTGACATCAACCTTGTTGTGTATTTCAGCCCATAGCACAAGTCCTTCAGCGCCAAGTCTTACTGTTTTGTCCGAAGCGAATGCTTTCATCAGGAGACCTGCGCCCAACTAATGATACAACTCAGATCATTTCAGTAGTGGTCGTACTGGGTGGCCCAATTAGTAGTACTACTTCTTATTACTATTTATTAGTAGTAGTGGTAGTGGTAGTGGTAGTGGCTGTGTGCTTGTGGTTGTGTCTTTGTGGTTGCGTTTGTGATTGCGTTTGCGGTTGTGCTTGTGGTTGCGTCTTTGTCGTTGAGGCTGTGGTTGTGTTTGTGGTTGCGTGCTTGTCATTTCGTGTTTGTGATCGTGGGTGTGGTTGTGTTTGTGGTTGTGCGTTTGTGATTGTGTTTCTGGTTGTGTGTTTGTGGTTGTGTGTTTGGGGTTGTGTGTTTGTGGCTTTGTGTTTGTGGTTGTGTGTTTGTGGTTGTGTTTGTGATATTGTGTTTGTGATATTGTGTTTGTGACTGTGTGTTTGTGATTGTGTGTTTCTGGTTGTGTGTTTCTAGTTGTGTTTGTGG